GCAATATTTCGAAGTCTTTGCGCAATGCTTGTAATCGAGCACGTTTAACACGAGTTGATCCACTGAAATTTTTGCCTCATAGACTCCCGGATATTCTTGGACGTATCGTCATTCGGAATGGTGTCCAAGATTTCTCTGTCAATCGCTTGATAGAGATAGTTCTTGATTTTCGAGATCCTTCAACTTTTGCTCCTCCATTAATTTAATTTCATCTTCGAAGCGTTGGCTCTATTGGAAACAGATAGCAATGCCATTCTCCACCGGATGCCAATATTCTTTTGATCGAAGAAAATTTTCCATGAGCTTTGCCCAATGATCATAATGACCATCGAATTTGGGAATTGCGGGACTGCACGTACTTGCTTGTTGTCGGTCATGGCTATAGAATAAATTTCGGTCTTCACGTGTGCACTCTCAAGGTGTTTCTCTCTCTCACACCCTAATGTATACCCCTCACGAAAGATGCACGCTCACTCTCACCCAATGTTAAAGATTACGGTTCGAGCCCCTATAAAGGAGCTACGATACCAAATTGTGAACAAAACAAGTAAGTGGTTACGCAAAATTAATGTTTCTGCGAGAATCAATTTCGGCTATAAAAAATGCTTACTTGTGTTATTCTTGATACTACATGACGAGTACATTAATATAACCCTGGACTAGCAAAATAAATGGAGAAAAAACTGACCCACTACTAGTTTCGTGGGAGTTTTCCTAACTGCAGTATCTGATAGCTAAAATTTAACTATTCTTCCTAAAAACCCGGTCAACACTTCTGACTATTATTAAACAAAATAAATAACAGAATGCAACAGAAAATATTCAGAAAAATATCTACTAACATACGTAATATAAATTTGCACATACTTTATACCTTGAGAATTCACCATTCACAGTGGAAAAAATAATCACTTTCTATTACATACACACATAATAAAGTTTTCAACTTAACAGTTAATTTAAATATAAATTACAAATTAGTAATTTAGAGTTTCATGATGATGATGATGATGTGGGTTTTATGGATCAAAGTATACAAAGAAAAGGTAAAGTACGTACATTTCTTACAAGCTAGCTAGCTTCGGCCATACGTACACTCCTCGAACGCTAGCTTCGGCCTTACGCAACATAATATCTTCAAAAGAAATTAAAAGTTTGGACTTTAGAAATTGTGATTTCACCACATTTATAATATGTTTGGAAGCATCTACACAAAGATTAACAAAAAAAAAAGTCAAAGAAAAAAAAGTTAAAGTCTTTCCTTTTCCAATTAAATAAATAAAATCATATAAAATTTATAATAGAACTAGTTCAAGTAAAATAAATAAATAAATATTTGAAATATATATTATCAGTTATGAATTATCACATTACATTAAAAATATATTAAAGTCAAACTCGTAAATGATATAAAAAATGAAATAAAATTGTTTCGTAATTCTGAATGTCCTTAACCCCAGCATTTTAATTTTGAGCGTCTTAATACGAACATTTGAGTTTTTGCCTTCTCTCTTAGGTCTATTTTATGTAGATGTTATTCCTCTAGTTTTATGTTATGTTATGATTTTATTTCTCAAAAAAAATAAAAATTGATTTTTTAAAAAATATTTATTTCATTTAAACAATACTAAAATACAGTCAAATCCACTCAAATAAAAAATTCAAAATAAAATAATTATTTTCGTCTTCCGCATTCTTTAATTCTTGTCCTAGTATATTGTATAATTCATTCAATATTTTTTTTCGTTTTTATATATTTTCTCTTTACCTTCATATTTGTTCTTATTCACACATAAAAAAAAATTGTCTTTTCATTTTTTTATTAATTTGTATTTTATAATTTAGTTTGATAAAATATTTTTAATTTATGTTGGATTATGATTTTTTTTATCTAATATAAACGATAATTTATATGTTTTATACTCTATATTTTTCAGTTGGGATGATATTTATGTTTAAGTTTGGGATTTATTATTATAATGTTTAATATGAGAATTGAGATTATATATAAAATTTTAACACTAAACCTTATAACAGTAATATACAAAAAATGGAATTTGTTATTTCGATTATTTAATAATTGCCACACAAAAAAATCTATATCATTTATATCTATATCGACTATAAAATTGATATATAACCATTATAAAAATCTTCACTACACTATATAATCATAATAGTTTATATTTGTAATGGTTTCCCTGAAAAAATATAAATAACCTATTCGTTTAAACTTTTGATGGAGGAGTTCACATCCTTATTAGTATAACATATCCTTCGAATGTAAAATCTAACACAATTTCGGTACATAGCTCTTAAAAAGAATTCAAAATAATTGTATTCTTTTATTAATTCAAATTTTCAATCTAACCATCTAGATAAAGTTTTTTTAACTAACTATACATATTTTATTTAATAAAATTCAAATCATTATAATATATATATATATATATATATTAAGTTTAATAATTTATTAAGAGGTATTTAAAATTTTTGCCAAACCTACAAATTTGTCTAGTGTAACATGTTTTATATATTTAAAAAGAAAAAAATTTAATTAAACTAATGAACTAAAAACAATTATATCAATTATTTTTTGTAACGAATAAAGCTAAAGAAAAACTTAAAAAAAAAATCATTATATTGAAATTTAGATAGATAAAATAAATAAATAATTCTCACCACATTAATAAAAAAACTAATCAGAACTATTGTGTTGTTAATATATATATATAAAACTTCTTCTCCCAAAACTCATAATTTTATTTTAAATAATATTTGAATTATTTATTAAAAACAAATATATTAATTCAAACTAAATTAAATTAGGATTGAAAATGAATAAATAAATTTATGTCCCAAATGTTTTTAAAATTTTAATAATAAAAATAAAATGAAAATGAAAGTCTCACCTTAATTAAAAATAATCAAGATAAATAAAAGAATAACAAGAAAAATGTATAAATCTAATAATTTATTATTTTAATATGGTAAAATATATTTGAACTGTTGTAATTTGTTTTTACTATAAATTAACATTTAAAAAGTTATATGTGTTTATTATTAAAATAAACTTATATATATATATATAATATGTAAAATTATATTTTTAATTTAAGAATTAATTTTCTTTATCAACGTGACTCATGATATTATTATAATCCATTTTTAAATTACATCCACACCCACTAGTAGTAAAAGAATAATTTTATGTTCTCACGGGTGTTCTGGTGAGTGACTATGTTTGCCATAAAGTAACATAGAAGAGTAGTGAACCACAGGAACAGACGTTGGGCTCGAGGAGAAACACACAACAATTATTGGAACTCCACATCTCTGCCCACAGTTACCCCTTCTCTCTCCTCCTTCATGCCCCAAAATTTCAAAACAATATATTTTCTTCAAACATTTTATCAATCTGCGTTTGAAAATAAAAAGTTCATCACCAGCTTTAAAGTGAATTGTGTGATGTCAATAATATTATAGGTATTGAGGTAAAAAATAATAGATATATTTATTTACTAAATATTTTAAAATAATTTTTAAAAAAGTGTTACTTATTTACCAAAATATAAATATCTCATCTATTTTTTATATAAATAGACATATTAACAAAAAGTTGTTGATTTTTTTAAAATAATTATTAATACAATAAATTATTTTTTACTAAATTCCTCTTCTCATTATCATTAATATAAATATAAATATTTAATATATTAAATACAGACAATAAATATACATTTATAGACAAATTATGAAATGTATTATAAAAAACAAACTAATAATTTTTACACTGAAATGTGTATTTACATAAAATTACATTTTAACAAAAATAGTTACAATTATTATTATTATGAAAAACAAACTAATAATTTATTTCGCCAAAATAACTATCTTACATATTATTCAATTTTTTCAAAGCAGTTAGAAGTATAAATCAAAACTAAATGAAAAGAAGGTACTAGACAGTGAAATGACTAGATATAGACAAGTTAATTTGGATTAATAATAATAATAATAATAAAATATTTTTTAATGTTTTATTCTTATTCAAAAGTCATGAACATCATAATAAGATTTTGATTTTTTTACCTAGACATTTCAATAAATACATTACAAGTAAAAAGTAAAGAACTTTAAAATCTGTCAAATAAAAATTTATATGTCATTCCAAAGTAAAATCAAACATGGAATGTTTACCTTATATAATGATCATAACAAAATGTAAAATAAACTTATTATTTTATCTTATGGAATTTTCTCAAAATATAATAATATTTAAAAATTATTATAAATGATTTTATCAATTATATTTATTTTTTACTTGTGTGTAAAGTTGTTATTGCTGTTAAAATTGAGATTTTCACATATCAGGTCAATATGTTTCAATAGCTTTTATTATTTGTTATAAGATATTTATATTATAGATGTTTTAAAATGAGATTTTATTATTTTCATTTTTTTAAACTAAATATCTAGAATATGAATCTAATTTGATATAGTGTATTTTTCTTACATTTAAGAAAGAAGGGGTAAAGGTGGGTAGAATGTAGAGGTTTTCTGGGTCCCAAAAGCATCCACCGATCCCAAAGATAACTAACTCCACAAAGCCAATTCCGGAAAATAACATAAGAATTGTCATGAGTTTGTTTGGTTTGTTTCTATTAACAAAACTTCCATTTTTGGCAATCTCTTCTCATCGCGTTCCAACACAGACAGAGACATGCATGTAGATGTATATATGGATGAATGTTTGCGTGCCGTAGTTTTCTTCCTCATTCAATCACTCCTTGCCCTGTACTGCACTGCACAACTGTTTGGTGGATGGTTCTTTTGTGTTATGCTTTCCCTTGGCAGTTGAGTCCCCCAGCCACCCCCACTCACCTATTTTCTCAAAAACAATGAGAGAGAAAGAGGTCACAGTCACAACCATAAATGAAGGGCCTTTTGATTGCACAAAACAACCATGTGATGCGTCCAGAAGTAAAAAATGTATCAAATTACTCCCTTAGTCTCTTCTCTTTCTTCCCTGTTTTTACATTCATTCTCGTCAGTGTCACTACGAAATCAGCCTCAAACTCCCTCTCCTCGGTCAAGAAAAAGTAGAAGATTAAATGTCACGCCTTCCTTCCAATTTGATTCTCCTTCCGATAAAAGAGATATGATTGTCAGAAAATCTAGCAAATCGTGAATAGACTCCAGGGGCAAATAAACCACTGTATATGTTAAACTAGATCACATGCACTTTAGTTTTTGGTCCCACTCTTATAAAATCTTATCTCATATATGTTAACTATTATTTGTAAATATAAACCAAAACATGTAGATGGAGATTATTTTATAAGATATTTAAAGAAAAAAAAATTTGCCGTCATTGTCTTATCGAAAAACACATCAAACCCAAAATACTACAATAACTGAGTTTTGAAATGTCTTTTTGTTGTTGTACTACAACTCTATAATTGAAATAATATATTTAAAATAAATATGTATATCTTTACCTTTTTGTCCCAGTTTATTTGTTATTACATAAAAATTGATTATTTGAGGAGATGAAAATGTGAGAAAATAATTATAAAAGTAGATGGAATCCAGAATAAAACTTCAGCAATCTGAATAAGGGAAAGACATTATTTATTAGTAATTATTTTTAAAATTATATAAAAGTTATTAATACTATCTTTTTTTAATGATATTATATGCATTTAAATGATTCCATTTATTACCTTACAACTTTATTCAGAAGGTTTCAAATATTTTTATAATTTTTTTTTAATTTAGATAATTTTTTTATAAAATTAAAAAAAAATTCTACTCACAATCTTATAAAAGTGGTCATTACTTTTTTAATTTATTTTATCTCAATCCACTTAAAGATTTTATTTTTGTCCAAGTTTAATATATATATATATATATATATATATATATATATATATTAATCCTTGAAATTTGAAACTAACTATTTTGGTTTTATAATTTAAATTTTTTTTATTTTAATAATCAGATTTGTATAGTTAAAAAAGTGTACTAACGTGTTTAAAGATAAGTTTTATGATTTAAAAAAAAGTATAAATTATAACATTTTTTACAAGCTAAATTAATAATTATTATCTCAAAATATAATGTGACAATTATAACCATCAAATGTTTAATAAAAAAACAAAAATATTATGTATTTTAAGATTTAATCTATTTTTAAATAGTAGTTTCTTTGTTTTTTATTTTTTTATCTAAATCACTCTTGTCAACTTATTTCAATTGTTTTTTCTAGGTATTAACATTTAATTAATCCTAAATAATTCATACAAATAACTGTAAATAAAGGAAAAATCTCAAGACAATGTTATGTATTTGAATTCAGCTATGTTGAATGACAATTTTCTGTGAAAGTTGGGAGTGAAGTAAAACACCCACAAAACTCAAATTTTATGTATAATTAGATACGTGGAATTAGTGAAGAAAAAATCTATTTTTGTTTAATTAATATTGAATAATAAGAACTTAAACAAGCTTGAATTATTAAGTTGTTAATTTCAAATTTGATATTGAAGAGAGAAAACTCTTATTTGTTTCATATGTGTAGATCATGACCACTACATAAATTCAAAAGTCACGTAGTCATGATCTAGATATCACAGTGCAGTGAAACAATTAATTCGAATGGGTCCTCAAGTTGAAATAAAAGATATATGACGTGATTTAATTTATTATTTTGTTCACGATTATTATGTACTTGATTTTACTAATTTCTTATATAATATTAGTTTTTTAATTAAAATTACTTATGGCAGCAAACCCACCATGTGAAGATGAAAATTGGTATATCAATACTTAAATATATATATATATATTCTATCTCATTTTTAAATTTGTTTTCCATATTACATCATACTATATATCATATTCAACTTAAAGGGTTCATTTTCCTTTTAATAGAAACTTCCTTTCTTCTTTGAACAAGACCATTTGAGAGAGAAATATTTTTTTTCTATTAAACCAAAACAATTAATAAGAAAGAGAAGTGATTTTTTTGTTAATAACTCAAACTAGGTGAAGATCCCTGTAGGTAATAACATATATTTTTTAAAAAATTTCAACACACATTTTTATTAATTAAAATGTATTTAAAATTATAAAATCATAAATAAAGTTCATTCTTAAAACAGTTTGCGTGTGCAGTTCACATCCTGCTGCCACTTGGAACTTTCATAAATGTTCAATTATTTAGTGCCTTTCTATGCATAGCTTACCAAAATTTTCTCAACAACTTTGATGGCGGATTTTGAAAATTGCAGTGACAGGACAAATGCTTGCATAACTTGTAGGCTAAGACTTCATAATTTGTCTCGGTACGGACCTAATTCTGTATCTTAGTTATCTTTACGAAATTAGTAATCACATAGTATTTAATAAAAGTAAATACTTGATGAAATTTAAAGAGTCGTGGTTGTCATAGTTGACTTTCAAAAGTTTTAAGTAGTTAAGTTAATTAAACCAACTAATTTTTGGACCAATTATGATTTTGTGCACTTGAAAGACAAGCTCATTTCAAGATTATTCATCTGGGAAACATATTAAGAAAGTCTATGCAAATGTAAGTGAAGAAACCAGTCTTCAGAGAAACAAATAAGAGGAACTCAATGAAATTTATTCTCCTCAATTGCTTTTTTTTTGTCTAAAAGGAACACACATTGTGTTGTGTCCCATCCTTACTCTATAGCACCCATTTTTTTGTGTCCTACCCCACAACGCTGGAGATTTGTGAAAGCAAGGTCACATTTAGTTTTTTGGTCTACTTATAATTTCACAAGTATACACTATAAAAAACACTTCATCCTTGGAATCATCCAAGATTCAAGTCCCTGTTCAATATTCAGCATCCACTGCATTCAAATTCACGTAACCACGCCTCTAGATACTGCAATAGCAAACACCATCCTATGCACAAAAGGGGAGAATCTTTTTAGATCATCAAATTGATTGTTATGGTTCCAAAAGCGCATCATGGTCAACTCGTGTTGGGTCTTTAGTATCTACAATCAACAATGTGGCGCCACTCAGGCTTGTCCCAAGAAATTTCATCTTTTCAAGACCCCTCCAATCATATAGTTTGATTATATATGTTCCTCGCATCAGCAAAAATTAAAAAAATGAAAAATATCAAGGAAGAAACTTTTGTTGGTTTAAAACGTAGTTGGTGTGTCGCTTTACGTTACCTTTCGGAATTTCCACAAATTCCAAGTTGCCTAGAGTGGACAAGCAGCTTATTATTGGTACCATACATATACACTTTGGTGTAGCGCAAGGTGAAAGTGACAAGCCAAAATAGATCAATCTTTTGCATGAACCATTCCTTTGGATTATTTTACTATGAATGACCTATATCTCTTTTTTAATAATTACATTCCTATATTTAAACTGGCTTATTTAAAGAAGAGTACAAATTTGTATAGAGCAAATTATTACAAGTCTTTGAGGACAAATCAATGTTCGAATGTGGATTGAATATAAGAGATGTGTGTGTCTCCCACTAATTGCTTGTTGGGACTAGGATCAAGTTTGGGATAGAAAAAGAAAAGTATGGTAGCTAGTTAGGTTGGAGAAGCTAGCTAATAATAAGTTAATGACTGAACATTTTGGTGTAGCTACCTTTCTCAGTATTATTTTCCTTTAACTTCCTCCTTTCTGTCATTTCAAATTAAATAAACTTTGACCCACAGTCAAGTGATTTTGGTGTTCAAATTATTTATTTGCTCTAAAAAAAACATTATATAGATCACTTTACAAATACTAAATTCACCTTAAAGAAAGAGATTAAACGTAAAAAGAAAAAGACAGAATATGATATGTCGTTATTCCAAGTTGAAGGAGTAGCCGAAATAGAAATTGTCCATGTGAAAAAGATGGAAAAAGAGAAAAAGGTTAATTTGCATTGGATGGAGAAGCGAGGATGTGGTTGTGACAGAAGAGTTGAAAAGAGGGGAATGAAATAAGTTGGGGGGGGGGAATTGTCGTGGGCCACGAGATAGGAGTGTTTCTTTAAATCAATCATAGGAGGTGACCCTTGAAAGTGAAACCACCACTGCCCACTCTGCTGCTACCACAATTCTCCAAAGTTTTCAACTCTGCAAATTAAAATACTCTTCAAACTGTGATAAAGTTAAGGATCAGATGTGAGATTACAATGTGACCTCACACAAACTTTTAAGATTACCATGTTGTACCCTTCATGCACCACGCACAACTTTCAAAAATCAATGAATCAGAATCTTTTAAGATATCGCTTCCAACTTCTACTTATTTCTCTTGCACCAAATACATTCTTTTCAACATGCCTAATTCATAGACATACCTGTCTAGTGCTGTTACACTCTCATTAAAAAAATAAATTTAAATTCAAGAATCGACATAATTTATATATATCATATATATTCTCATAACTACTACAAGTATTTTAGAATAAAATAATCACATAGTATAACTCCCAGACAATATTTATAAAAATTATATTCATAATGACCTCAAGTGTGAAGAGTCCCTTTTACAGGTGAATTTTTTTTTTTCATAAATTTCAATTCCTTACTAGATTTAAGTTACTACACTACATTCCTAACTAAAAAACGTGTAATTGATGATAACCCATAACTTACAAACACTTGTACCTTAAATAAATCTCAAAAGTGTAAATGAATAAACATAAATGTTTAAAGTAGATTAAGGTTTTATGAGATATTTTTTATGCAGGTATATGTGTTGATATTTCCTACTTTCTACGAGTTACGGGTTATGATAGATGAATTTAAGCGAACTATGAATTAAAATATTTAATCCACCTTAAGTTTTTCATAACAAGTTTGTATATCACAAAATTATTTTTTGTTATTATATGTATTTTGATTATTTTTTTATTATCTTAATATATTATAACGTTTTTTTTAAATGTAATGAAGGATTTACTAAATTTATTTAGTTTTTTTTTAACTAATTATATCATACATCATATTCTACTGTAGAGATATTTTTTATATTTTAATATAAATCTTATAATAATTTGACTCAAAAAATTAAATGTATAATAATAATTACAAATGTTATATATTATTCATCAAAATATTTATTTTGTCCTTGGACTATTATATATACAATCCAAATTTGTCATTGGTATGGTAATATCATTTGAAAATCTAGTTTTTAAATCATCAAATGAAATATATTACTATAAACCCAAACTAGCTTGTATTTTTATTTTTTTTAAAGGGACACATACATAAAATTGAGACTTTCATGCAAAACATTGAGAGAAAATATTATTTTATTCAAAAACCTGATATGTAGGAAATGGTATCGTATTCCCTAACTCTACTAGCTCCAACTTTATAGAGATAATAGTTTTATATTAACAAAATTTAAATACTTAACAACATATTTTACTTGATAATTGACATATTCATTAAGCATATACTTAAACTATTTTCTTTCTTAAACTAATAAATTAGTCCTGACAATATTATACAAAAATTAGAGAATAAATATGAATATAATATTAAATGTTATTACTATAACATGTATATATCTATGAAATATTCAATATTTAAATAAAATAATATTTTTATATTATTTTTTTAAAATTATGATTTAATATTTACAAATTTAGGATTAATATACTACTAATTAATATATTAAAAAAACTAAATTAGTATTAATTACCTGAATAAATATTATGATGGATAGATATAAATTTATAATGGTAATAATTCAAAATTTTCAAGCTTTACAAAATTGACACTATATTATATTATTGGTTAAATTAACAGTATAATAAAACATTTTTATTTTATTTTACCCATTAAACAAAAAAAAACTATCCTCCACTATATTATTTTTAAAATTATTTAAATAAGTTGTAATATTTATCCTGACTGACTGAGATGCAATATTGGTTTAGTTACTCAAATGAAAAGAAAAGTTTTTTATTTGATGACTCAATAAGTGATTGAAGTTATTGTATATAATATTAATTTCGGTTAAATTAAACCAATAGTTATTATAAAATTTGAATTTTGATTTAAATATTTAAAATTATTCAAGTATCCGTATCATAAAAAATAAAGTTTAAGTTATATTAAATTAATTGGATTCAATAGCATAGGATTTAAATTGATAGATGACATTCACGTGAGCAATTAAATTTTTTATTCATCTTAATTAGATACATTCAATTAATCAGATTCAACAGCTATATTAAATTTACATTTTTATCAACTGTCAATATTTTTTTTTTCAATTCTCCTTTACAAATAATATATATAGATTTAAAAAACATCATAAAAATATGATTTTTTTTCTAAAAATGAATTAGTTTTAATTTAAAAAAAAACAAAACATATATTGTTATGTAATCAATATAGTTTGAAGACATTTAATTAAATTGGATTATGCACTGATTTTTATTTACAGTTAAAATATATTAGTAAATTAAAGAATATGATAATTAGTACACTAATTACAATTATTAGTGTAAAATTAAAGGAGAAATTGTTCAGAATATATTAAATCATGAATTTTATTAAGATAAAAAATATAATATAATAATTTTCATTAACACAAGTAGAAAATTAAATTTGTATAGGTGAGGACTAATCTCTCACAATCTGAAGAAAACTAAAATTAATTGAAGACATGCTCAGTTCGAAAATTAATACTACAATCTTCATTTTGATTCTGTCTTTATTCTAATTTTATATTTAAATTTAAATTTTAAAATATTAATATTAAAAAAAAGAATTTATTATATATAAAATATTTTTTTTATATTTAATAAATTTGACTTTCTTTACTTATTTTTAAATTTTTTATATCATTTAATTACATTACTATTTTTTTATCTTTTACTTTTTCACATTTCCTTAATTTTTTATATCAATTTTTTTAATATTTTAAACCAATTTAACTAACAAGTTAATTTTTCTCCTTATTTATTTTTTTCTAAATATTTTACATAAATCTTAATAGTAATTAATATTATATTATTTATAATTTATTTTTATTTGATCTTATTATGTTATTTTTTTATTTTTTTATTTTTATTTATCATATAGCAAATTTTATTTTAAAAATTAATTTTTTTTATAATTTAAATTTTTATTACTTTAAAATAATTAAATAAATAAAAATTAACTTATTAAATATTTTTTATAAATTATATAAAAAATTAAAATTAATTTATTGTGAGTATAATTATTTTTTTAAAATAACGTAGATCGAATACTGGTACAAAACTAAGGTGAGAAAAATCTAAAAACCAACGAAAACGAAAACGTAGAATTAATTTCTAAATTGAAGAGAATAAGAAAAAAGGACATTGACAATTAGAAAAGTGGTGATAGAATTTGGGAAGACAAAACTCGTCCGCACCTTTTCATGCCTAAATACAGTTGAGTTGAGATAAGGAAAAGTTGTTATAAAACAATGATTTTTTTTTTACTAAAATATTTATTTTAAATTTAAATAAATTTATAATTACTAAAACGGACAAATTAATTCAAATATCTAACAAAATATGTTTAAGTGGTTTGAAAAGAATGGATGGAGGAAACAACACGTCAACCAACAAAAATAAATCTTAACTTCAGGCCTATGACCTATTAATTAATAGGAGTAAATTTTATGCACGTCTATAACTAATTCAAAATTATTTTTAATATAAAGAAAAATATGCATAGTGAGCATTGCTATCAAATGAAAAAAATTCCTGCTTAGATAGTTTTTTTTTCTGTTAATATTTGTACATATCAAAATTAAGTCTCTTTTATACGCAGAAAAATTCAACTTCTACAATTTTGGTTAATAGCAACTTAATTTTTCATAAGAATATAAGGAAAATTAAGCTGTAACAATAATGATGTTCAGTGTTTAACATAATGAAATTAAAAATATTAAGAATGAGTTTAATACACATAATGTTTACAAGTTTAATATCAAGATACATCAAAAGGAGAACAATACATTATACACATTTAGAATAGTTTACTTAATATTTAATTTATTCATGATTTTAGTTCAATTCATGTATAATAATTGTGATTGTTAATTCACATGTTTATAACAAACTTGTACGAAGCATTATAGAATAAAGAACCCTTCAATTTTAACGTAGCAAAACAATTATACAAATCGAATAAACAATGTATTGTGACGTTTAACACCACTTTTCACTTCACTTTTGGGCTCAATTTAGTTAAAATGTCCACACTCCCTTCTTATTTGGGTCTGCCCTAATTATACAAACTACAGTTTACGGTCCATTGTAAGTTTCTACAATTCTATTCACACTCATTTCCCCCCTTCACTTAGCACCTCATCTAAAACCAAAATTTTGAAAAATGTTAAATTTCTAACACTTCTAAGAAAAAATTTGAATAATGTTTTGGGAAGTCAAATACGTGCGGAAACTAAAAGTGCAGTTTAAATTAAGTATTTTTGTCCTTTTTTTTAAGAAAAAAAGAAGAGAAAAAACTCCTGAAACAAAGGCTAGAAGTATGGTTAAAATGTAAGTAGAGTAAAGGCTCACGTCGTTTCTATAGGTTGTCAAATTCCTATATCTCAACCAATCTTTCTTAACAAATTCCCTATGCCTACTCTTTTGGATCATCCCTACATTCCACTTCTGATTACAATATTTCCAACTCTTTCTTAGCATCTTCACTTCGACATCTCCCTCACTTTCAATCTCTCCAACGCCATGCAGATAAACCATTTTCAGCATCTTCTTTAATAAATTTGGGCCCATCTTTCATAATTTGCCTTTCAACACACACATAGATACCACATTGTTATGGCACTTTTTAAAACACGGAAGCGATCATCTTCACCATCTTACCTATCAACCTTGACAATATTTGTGTTTATTGCACTATGTGTTGTCGGCGTCTGGATGCTTACCTCCAAGTCGGTAGTAGTGTCACCTCAAACACAGAGAGATGAGGACATTGCAGCCCGAACGTCCATTGATACCTCTGCAACCACCAATGATGAACTCACTTCCTCCCATGAAATTGCTGTAAAAGTGGCAGAAAACCTTAAAGACACTGCCTCTTCTGTATTTGGAGATAACCCTGGTCATCTTCCTGAAGATGCCATAAAATCTGATGATAAAAATACCAACAGTGAGTCACAAAAACAGCATATGCTTGCCAGCATGGACTCTCAGCTTTCTGAGGAAAGCTCGTTAACTCAAAAGGAGCAAGTCTCCGTGATACACGAAGCTGGCGCAGATAGTGATGTGAAAATAACTGAGCCTGAGAAAGTTCAGCAAACTATCACCGAGCCTTCTAATAGAAATAAAAAGGATGAAAAGATGGCCGCCGAGGTGGTGGCAAATGAAGAACAAAGCATTGGACAGCAGCAAGTTGTTCAAGGCTTTGACACTCGAGGGTCCAAACCAGATGGAGATGATGAAAACAAGGAACAACTACGAGAGGACAAAGGCGCGGTTGAGGCCAATCATCTATCAGACATGTTACAAAAGGATTCTGAAGCGGCTTTAAAGGGAGCAGAAGTGTCTGAGAAGATTGAAAACCAAAAAGTAGCAGATGTAGGTGGGGAAAAGCAGAAGGCAAAAGCAGAGAAGAAAGGTGGCAAGTCAAAGAAGCAGTGGTCAACGCAAGCTGCCCAGTCACAGAAAGAAAACAAAAGACAGAAGGTTGAATCCAACAGTGAAGACAAACTTGAAGATCACACGTGGTACCTCTGCAATGTCACTACGGGTCAAGATTATATACCGTGTTTGGACAATGAAAAGGCTGTGAAACAGTTGCGTACTACAAGACACTACGAACACAGGGAAAGACATTGCCCTCAGGACCCTCCAACTTGTCTGGTGCCACTTCCTCAGGGTTACAAAACGTCCATCGAATGGCCTAGCAGCCGAGATAAGGTGATTTTTTTTGTTTGTTTGTTGAAAGATCCATCCAATACATTTCGGTTCTATTTAGATTAGTTGAGAATAAAATAAAATACATTAAAATCAATTTATACACCTTAACGTTTGAAATAATTAAGTTGTTTCTGTCAAATTACGTGTATAACTTTTGCAACAAATTATATAATAACTTTTGTGAAGAAGTTTATTTAAACATGACATTAGTAGTGAGGTATTTTATATCTCTTTACATGGTTGTATATCGAAATAGATTTGGTACCACAATGTACCACACAAGTTGCTAGCAGAGGTGAAGGGACACCAGAACTGGGTGAAGGTGACCGGAGAGTTCTTGACATTTCCTGGAGGTGGCACCCAGTTCATTAATGGAGCTCTCCATTACATTGATTTTGTTCAACAGGTAATCACATTTATGCAGTAATGCAAAGGTCAGAGCGAGAATTTCATACTAATACTGGTTAATAAATCAAAATTTATACTAAGAAGTTTTATTATTTGACTCACGCAGGCTGAACCTAATATTGCATGGGGAAAGCACACACGGGTGGTATTGGATGTTGGATGTGGGGTTGGTAGTTTTGGAGGCTTTCTATTCGAAAGAGATGTTATTACAATGTCTTTTGCACCTAAAGACGAACATGAAGCGCAAGTGCAATTCGCCCTTGAAAGAGGGATTCCTGCTATATCTGCTGTTATGGGTACTCAAAGGCTGCCATTCCCCAGTCGTGTCTTTGATCTAATACATTGTGCACGTTGTCGAGTACCTTGGCATGTAGATGGTTGGTCTTATAACACTTATTGATTCTTCATAATGGAGGAGTTTTGTGTTAAGTATATTACCGAGACTTGTGAAACTCTTTTGTAGGTGGCATGTTGCTGTTGGAACTGAATCGGCTTTTGAGACCAGGTGGTCATTTTGTTTGGTCTGCAACTCCTGTGTACCAGAAGCTTGAAGAAGATGTGGAGATATGGAAGGGTAGGATTACGTATCATATATTTGAATTTTACTTTTGAGAAGATAATCAACTCAACGATTTTTTAGTGACTGACATCCTCTAATGTTCTTTCAGAAATGACCACACTGACGAAGGCCATTTGTTGGGAGCTTGTGACCATCAACAAGGATCAACTGAATCGTGTTGGTGCTGCCGTTTATCGCAAACCCACAAACAACGATTGCTACGAGCAAAGGGAGCAAAGTGAACCTCCATTGTGTAAGCAAGATGATGATCCAAATGCTGCCTGGTAAGTCTCTATCACTGTATGGTTTGATTTGACCAGTAAAGTACATAACACTTGTAATCTTGATTTGTCAAATTTATTTATTTCAGGTATGTACCACTGCAGGCATGCATACACAAGGTGCCTGTAGACAAGACTGAGAGAGGATCCAAATGGCCTGAACCTTGGCCGCGTCGACTAAACAAAGCCCCGTATTGGTTAAACAACTCGCAGATTGGGATCTATGGAAAACCAGCTCCCCAAGATTTTGCAGCAGACAATGAACGTTGGAAAAATGTTGTGGACGAGTTGAGCAACATTGGTATAACTTGGTCTAACGTGAGAAATGTCATGGACATGCGAGCTATCTACGGGGGGTATTACTGATTCAACTTAGGGTACACCTATTCTACTTTTTTATTCATATGAATTACTCAATCTCAGTCTGGTTCATGCAGATTTGCGGCAGCTCTAAGGGATCTTCCCGTTTGGGTGTTCAATGTGGTGTCCGTACATACTCCGGACACACTTCCCGTTATCTATGAGAGAGGTCTTTTGGGGATGTACCATGACTGGTGTGAATCCTTCAGCACGTATCCAAGATCTTATGATCTGCTGCATGCAGATAATCTTTTCTCAATGCTAAAAGATAGGTATGGATGGAAGTAGTCTGATCTTTTAAATATCATTCATCCTATAGAAACTGCTCTTTACTGACCCAGTTCTGCTGTTCTTTTGGCTCCTCAGGTGCAAACTAATTGCTGTTATGGCAGAGGTGGATAGAATACTTAGACCAGGAGGTAAATTGATTGTCCGTGACGAAGCTACCACCCTCAGCGATGTGAAAACTTTGTTAAAGTCTTTACATTGGGAAATAATACATGACAAAATAAAAGAGGGAGTGCTCTGTGCAAAGAAACGCAAATGGAGGCCTGACGCAATGGCTTTGTCCTGATGAAGTGCTGTGGATAAAACACTAGTGGTTTAATTCAAGAAGTGCTCTGAATCAAAGCTATGCAGTGGCGGTAACGTGGATTCAGCCTCTCAACCTTATTTATGGCAAAGCATCTTCCAGTAAACGTCACACTATTATTTTATTAGTTTTCCTAGCACGTGTATATCAGTATTCAGTTTATTGCCCCGATATTCATACCACACACAGCAAAACTTGTCGTCGATGATGCACCTACCCACAGACTTAGATTTTAATTTCCAATATACATGTCTTATTATTCTGTTTTTTGCCTGGTTGAATAATAGTTCTTGAGTATAACTGAGACATGACAGTTGACCTTGGTTCATTCATAGGATCATAATTTTCTTACTGGAAACAATATTTTCAGTCGTCTTCAAGTCTCCATGCCATCATATGAGATTGATTCACCAAAACATGAATTAAGGAGAAATATTGGTTACCTAACAGATTGTGGTAGTGGGGGTGTAAAATTGACATTATTTTTTTTTTCCCGTTTTGAAATTTATAAGCACGATCAAGAAATTTGAAATTCACAAGTAATCAACAGTTTAATCACAAAAAACAGCTAGGGTTCAAACTCAATGTTTCAGAGCTCATCCTTTCAAGAGTCCTACATTTTTAGATGAAAATTCAAGAGGATTCGAAGCAGGATGAAGAAATGACATGCTATTCCTATATTAAAGAATACAAACTGTCGCCTAAATAACCAAATAAAAAAAATAATAATCAAAGCATATTATGCTCCAATAAGTTTGAAAACTTCATTGTCAATGAAAGATGTCAGTCCACATAACAATAAATGGTAGATGCTAGAGCTCGTACATCGCTAGTACACCATCAACTTGCACTGAGAAGTTTCTGCAATTCACCACTTTGGACTGCAGCACTGAGATCTAAAATTGTGAAAACAGCATAAAAGTAGCAAGACTGTGTGAGTGGAACAAAGTGAATGAAAAGTGAACACAGAAGGACGGATAAATTGTAGACCATAGGAAATAACTAACAAGAATAACAGAGAATTTGTTATTGTTATTTTTAAGTTATAAATGAGAATGCATTCGCAAAAAATTGAATAAGATTTGTTTTGAAGTAACATGATTCATGTTTAATTTTCTTTTGGTCAGCCAGAAGACAAATTTACATTAAGAGGGTGCAATTCGTACCAAACTCATACAATGCAATCAATTCAAGTTTGATGTTTTTGTTCTAAAATAAAGTTAAGCTTTGTCTACAAGTGACAATTTTGGTTCCCAAAACAATTCCCTACTCTAACTGGCCATGTAAATATTTATCTAAAATTAAATTAATTGGTACTTTAACTGTAAGTATGAGTGAACCAATGTGAACAAACACCCACATTAGATTATAACTCATAAAAGTAGCAACTAAGAACTAACCATCTGATCCACCAATATGCCTTCCATTCACAAATACTTGGGGGACTGTCCTTCTACCAATCAAATCCAGAAGAACACTCTGAATTTCATACCCATCATCTACAGGAGGAAAAACACATCCACCGTGACCCACATGAAAAGTTCAAACAAGGAGAACATTTTAACATGATACCTGCAAACCGGCTAGTTATGATTACCTCGCAAATCGAGCTCCACAACAATCGGTTTCTCGCTTAGTCCAGCAAGTATGCGTTTGGCGCGCAAACAATAGCTACAAACATAGTAAAACCCTAATTATTGAGACACTATTGAATTAAATGGAATAAAGAAAAAAGGAAGCGATATCTGATAAAAAGAAGGGAAAGAAAATTAGAAGGAACGCACGGGCAATAGGATTTGGAAAACACGGTGATTCTATTGGAGTAGATGGCGTTTTGAACGAAAGCGGAAACAGAATTAGAGGCTTGGATTCGCAGTGCTCCAAACCACAGCAGAGAAACCGCAAACGTCACCGTTACCGCTATACTCCACCTTAATCCCATCATTCTTCTTCTCTTCCTCTGATACACTCTTTTTCCCTTCTTCTTTAACTAAATTTATGCGTTTCCTCTCTCAAACGCAATACCAGAGCAGTCGTTTTTGTCAAATTTTGCAATAAAACAAAGTTTTGCAACCCAAATGATAAGTTATGCAAATTTATTTTGTCCATGCAAATGATTTGAAAATAGAATATATTACATTCACAATTTCTGAATTTTGTTCCATATGATTTGAAAATAGAATATCTTACATCAAAACTTTTTGATTTTTATTTTTTTCAAATTGTAGAGCATATTTATTTATTCTATTGTTGTACTATGTATTACAGTTATTAAGAAATATTATACTGACTTCTTTAAAAATATTTTTTAAAATTTTTATTCAATATTTTGGGGATAATCGTGACAACAAAGTTTAAACATAATTGGATAAACTATCCAAACTCCTACCATTAGATTAACTCCGATAATAAATATTAAGCACATGAATCTAATTCCCAGTTAGGAATATCTACAACTAAAAATAAAAATAAAAATTAGTTGGTACAGAGCAATAGAAACAAAAAAATCAATAGAAGAAGATGAAGCTTAAGGTATTTTCAACAATAAAATAGTAAGATATTTTTTTTTCACTTAATAAATACTAGGAGTTATAAGGAAATTATCTCATAAATAATATATTTTAAAAAGAAAATTAGTTAAACAAAATCTTTATTATATATCACTCTTTATTTTTTTATTTTTTATTTCTTTTTATCTTAATTTCTTATTTCTCTCTCATTCATTTTTTATTTTTTTAATTAAACTACTATATTAAAATTTACTAAAAATAAATATTTTAAAATTAACAATAAATTTAAAAAATATTAATTTATCATTTAAAATTACGATGATAATAAATATTGTTTTATTTTGACAATAAATTATTAATTTAAAATTATTTTACCATAATAAATAATTATTTATCTAATTAAAAAATATCAAATATTTATAAGTGAAATATATTTGTATTTAATAATTTAATCTAGTTATGATAATTAGTTAGATTAGGTTATCTTAAAAAAACATTTATTAAAAAAATTAAATAAATATTTAATTTTTAAAATATAATATACTAAATTATAATATTTTTAAATCATTTAATTTTTTTATTTTTAAAAATAATAAAATACTCATTTTATCAAATTTTAATTTCTTATTTTTAATTCAAGAATAAAATAAAATGAGAGAAAAAAGAAAAGAAAAAAAACATAACAAATAGAGAAAAAAATAATAAAAAGTAAATAAAAAGAGAGAGAAATAAGAAAAAATAATAATAAATATATTATATCAGATCAATTTATTTTTTTTAGTTAAATTTTGTGTATGTATAATAAATAGGTTTAATTAGATAAATAAAATGTTTAATTTAAATTTTTTTCTTTAGATATTATTAATGAAATTGATTAAAAGATCGCTAATAAATTCTATGAATGATGTATGTAACGATCCTAGAAATCATTATTATAATGATACCTTCGTAAAATAGTAAATAAGTAAATAATAACATCTATATTATATTATATTACTGTAATTGTAATATAGACTGGAATTCTAGTTCATTGGTGGAACCTCAAAACATAGACTGAAATTCTGGTTCATTTGTAGAACCTCAAACACATAGTAACATAATTTATTTATATATTATACATGCAAAAGTAGCTCCCACAAAGCTACCCCACTGAACTATCCCTGTTGTCCAGTAGTCGCATCTCCACCTCTCAACTCCTGATCTGCTCCCACATAAAAGTGATCATCGCAGTCCCATCTACATGGAAAAATAGGGGTAAGTATTAAATCATTCGATATAATAAAACATGTATAGAAGTAATAATTACATATTATCATCAATTACAAATCATCAATACACTAAGACATCTTCCGGAAGTATACCCTAACTATGCCCGAACTCAGAGATCATTTGGGAGTACATTGTGATCTGCACCCGCAGTACCATTCTGACCACCCTCCACACAGAGTAAGATTACTGGCGCCCTTCCTCACTCATACTGGAGTACCCCTCCGAGCGCGTCACCAGTCATCTCCTCATCGACTTCTCACCACCTGATCTCGTAGTTTACCTGATCCGAGCAATCAGTAAAGTCTGAGACCTCATTCAGAATTCTCCGACATAGTTATTACACGAATGTACTTTGTACCACCCCGGGTACCATTCAAACACAACAAAAATCATTCACATTTGCCGGATTCTAGATTACCCGTTCTCACGGCTCATTCAAGTCAATAAATAATAGTACTTGACTGATTCTGGGCACCAACCCTCCGGCTCAGTCTAGCCAATACGTAACATTTCATGACTGATTATGGGCATCGGCCCTTAGACTCGATCCGACTCACACACGTCACAACACACTACTCGAATCTTTAAAACTGCTACCTTCATTCTATATTTTAAATATATATATATATATATATATATATATATATATATATATATATTATTCTTCTTCTTCTTCTTTCCGAAATCATTTCCAAAATTATTAAATTACTATTTTGCCCTTAATCTTTTCTAAAAATTCCATGTATGTCCCTAAATGACTATTTTACCTTTAGACATTTTCGAAAATTCCTTCCATGTCCCGAAAAGAACTATTTTACCCTTTAATATTTTCGAAAATTCCTTCTATGTCATGAAAATGACTATTTTACCCTTGAACATTTTCAAAAATTCCTTCCATGTCCCGAAAATGACTATTTTACCCTTGAACATTTTCAAAAATTTCTTCCATGTCCCTTTCTTCTTCCTCGCGCCAGATAACAGTATCAAAATTTTCAAATTTTAGCAGATTTCAAATGACTCAATTTTAGACAACCAAATTAGTCCCAAATTCAAATTAAACATGAATTATATCTAATTTAAGTTGAAAACAACAATTTTACCATATAATTCATCCTTAATTTTAAGAATTTCAAAAACTTTCAAACGGTGAACAGTTCATCAGAATAAGAAATTCTTCAAAATCAGACATTCAAATAATTCATATCTCTACTCCTATTCCTTATTCACAAAGTACCCATCAATTCAATTTCATATATTGAATGAATTAAACTTCCCCTTACCTAGTGTGGTATTTCTACCGAAGCTTTCTCACTTAATTTAAACTCTCTCTCGTTTTACCAAATCTTGTACGAGTAAAATATCATTGCTTGAAATTTAGACAAAAGAAGAAGGATGAAAGGGAAATTTAGATTTTGCCTCTTCCCCCTTTTCTATATGCATATATATAAGAAAAAATTGATCATGCAAGAGGAAAACTTCGTTACTGAAATTTTCTTACACAGTAATATTATTATAAAAAAAACATACGTCACAATATATTTAAAAAAATAATTTTTTTTATCAATTTATTTACTTAAATTGACCAGTTTAATGTTCATATGATTTTTTTCTTTCTCTTCGTAATATTTTTTTTCTTTTTCTATCTTATGTTTTTTTTTACTTTCCTCTTCCACTTATCTTTTAATTAAGCTATTATATTAAAATTTAATAAATACATGTTAAAATGAATATTTTAAAATCAACAATGAAACTTAAAAATATTAACTATTTATTAAAATTATGATCATAAAAAATAATTTTATTTATTTTGATAATAAATAATTAATTTAAAATTATTTTATCACAATAAATAATTAATTTAAAATTATTTTATCACAATAAATAATTAATTTAAAATTATTTTATCACAATAAATAATTAATTTAAATTTATTTTATCATAATAAATAATTATTTATTTAATTAAAAAATATCTAATATTTATAAATTAGATGTATTTTTATTTAATAATTTAATCTAGTTATAATAATATTTGTAATATTTTAAATTTATCATATAATATATTAAATTTTAGTATTTTTGAATTATTTAAATAATTTTATTTTTTAATAATAGTAAAAAATTTATGTTATCAAATTTTAATTTATTATCTTTAATTGAAGAATAAAATAGATAGAGAGAAAATAAAAGAAAACAAATATTATATAAATAATTTATTTTTTCTGATAAAATTTTGTATACGACTAATAAATAAGTCTAAGGAGATAAATTAACTTAAAAATATTTTATTTTAATAATTTTTTTAAAATATATTGTTTATGCGATTGATTTTTCGTAAAGAATTACAATATATGTTTTTACATAATTACATCTTATGCTTTCTTTTGATCATGTACCATTAAAATTAAGTTGGTTTTAATATATTTTTACTTTTAAACATTTGCGGTAAATAACTTTTAATCATTCAAATTAAAAAAAATATTTTAATCTTTCAAATTTCATAAAATATGATTTTTAATTCTTTAGGTACTACATTTGAAGAAAAAAAATTATAAAAAAATATATTTTATTCTTAAAAAAAATGTATATATTTTTTTCAATTTAATTTTTTTAATTTATAAATTATAATCAAAATTTTAATAACTAAAAATATAATTAAGTAAAATACTTTTTGTTGTTATTAATATGATTTTTGGATTATAAAACATATGTATAAATCGATGGAAATCGTAATTTTATTGGAACTTTTATTATTTTTTTTAAATTATATGATAAATTTTTTCAGTTAAATATTAAAAATTAAATAAAACTATTTATTATATTTGAATATAATATTATATTTTATAATTAATTATTAACTAAATTTATATATGCTTATTAAAAAAATGTGTGAATAAGTTTTCATCATAATTTTAATTATTAGATCCTTTAATTTTTTACAAATTTTTAAAAAATTAGAATTGTAAATATAATTATAATTATATAATTTTTTAGAATATATCTCTTTGTATGAATTTTTTTATATAAAATATTTTATAATTAAAAAAAAATTATAATAAAAAATACAAATTTAATTTAATATAACAAACCACCTTTGATTTGATTTTTATATTTTGCTCATAGATGAAAAATCAAACTATAACTACTCTGTCAAGATATTATCTTCTGTGAAAAAAAAAGAGAGAGAAGAAGACACTGTTGTGTTTTTTTAAGTGATACTTTCTCATTTTGAAACAATTGATTTTTTAAAGTAAGATCATAGTAAAAATAATTTAAATTTAATTTTAGGTACATTTTAAATTTTATAATTTAAAAAAAATAATGTGAATTATTTTTTAATTCAATAACAAACTTAAAAAAATATGTTAGTGTGAGACGGATATAACCTAAAGAATCATTTAATAGATAAAAATAAAATAAAATAAATATTACATTATGAATTCCATGTTGTCGAAAAAGTAACTCAAAATTTTTAAAACTAAACACTGCTCATATTAAAAAAAAAACTAAAATTACAAATCTCATAGTTCAGTTATTTAATACTTTTTACATTTTCCAATCAAGTTATAAAATCTTTAAGGTTCACAAATTTAAAAATGTGGAGTAATACAAAATTTTATTAAAAAACTCTTATTTAAAATAAAAATATTAATATAATACAATTTATTTTCAAAATTCTTAAAATAGATATTTAAAAAAATCCTTGTAAATATCGTGTTTTACGAATATATAAATATAACTTTAATTTTTTTCTATGTTTTAAAGTATTTTATTTTTTAATTATATATATATGCCTTTATTTCTGTTTATATTTTTAATCTTTATTAATCATATATTTATTATTATCAATTTTAATAAATAATAATAATTATAATAATAAATAATTATTATAATCATTAATATTATTAGTTTTATTATTTATTATTATAATTATAAATATATTTATTAATTTTATTCTTTTATTAGTATTTTTATTATTGTTGATATATATTTAAAATGATAATAAATATAATAATGATAAATTAATAAAAAAGCAATAATAATAATTTTATAATTATAATCATAAGTATTAATAATTTTATTGTAATAATAATTTTATTATTATTATATTTATTAGTTTTATCATTAGTAGTAGTATATTTATTATTTTTATTTATTTAAAATGATAAGAAATATGATCATAATAACTTTAATAAATAAGTATAATAATAAAAAAATATGATTATAATTATAATTATGGGAATAAATATCAAAATTAATAATATTAATGATTATAATAATTATTAATAATATTATTATAATAATGTTATTATTAATATATTTATTAATTTTATTATTAATTATATATTTATTATTTTTATTTATTTAAAATGATAATAAGTATAATAATAATAATAATAAATTGAATAATTTATAATAAATTAATAAATATAACAATAAATTTATATTGTATAATAATAGAAAGTATTATTATAATTACAATTATAATAATAAATGATAAAATATTTTTATTAATGATTATAATCATGACTTATTATTATAGTTATTATTAACAATATAAATTATAAATATTATTATAATAATTATTAATAATAAATATTAAAATATAAATAAAGTACAGTTATACATATAAATACAATTTCTCTAAAAAAATAAAATACTTTAAAACTTAAAAAAAAACAACTAAAATCGTATATTGAAATACCATTTTATAGTTAAAAAAATAAAATCATTTTTCAATATACGTTTTTTTGTCTTTTTGAATTGTTTACGGAATTGAAAAAAAAATATCTATTTTGAGAATTTTGGAGACAAAACACCATGGTGCTTTTGCCCTTATTCAATGAGTTTGATGCAAAATGATTTCTGTACTTTTAAACAAATTCTTAAATTAGAGTTTTGTGAATATATAAAAGGAAAATGTTGATGTGATCAACCGTTTTGTTCTAAATAATAAGAGTAAACCAAAAATTATAAATTTTTTAAATAATTCATTTTTATTAATATAATAATTTATCGAATGATTTAATAAAAATAAATTAAAATTATTATTATAATATTAAAAGAAAATTATTTATAAAAGTGGTATAGATTTGGATCCTTAAAATATTTATTTTTTTTACAATAATTGCAGTGTAAAAACATACTTTATTTAACAGTTTTACTTGTCTACAACCTTTCATGTATATTGATCAGTTGGATGCATGAAAAAATAATAATCCACAATTGTACTGGAGTCGGTCAGTCAAAGTGGTGGGAGAAAACGTCAGAGAGTCACTGTTTTTTGAAGGAAGCTTCCCTTCACCACACACCAAAGAAGTGGAACACAAACCCCCCATTTCCAGAAGATCAAGTCTTCTCTTGTTGGGAGAACCTACCAGCAGCAGACAATATACGATGGCTGAGGTTGCCGTCTCAACTGTGGTTCCAAAGCTAGTGGAGCTGCTGATGGCGCAAGCAGCGGGGGCGGTTTCACAGTTGGCAGGGGTAAGAGGGCAGGTGGAGAGTTTGAAGAACGAATTGGGGTGGATGCAGAGCTTTCTCAGGGACGCAGATGCCAAACAAGAAGCCAACGACCGAGTTCGCATGTGGGTGTCGGAAATCAGAGACGTGACTTTCGAGGCAGAGGAACTCATAGAAACCTATGTGTACAACACAACCATGCAGAGTAGGTTGGACAAGGTGTTCAGACCTTTGCATCTGTACAAGATCAGAACCAGGATCAACAAGATCCTGTCCAAGGTTAAGAGTATATCCAACAGGCGAGAAACATATGGCGTAGAAATGACCGGTGATGATGGTAGTAATAGTAATGAAAGGTTGAGGCACTGGAGACAGCCTTCACCTTATTCTGAGGAAGAGTATGTTATTGAGCTTGAAGATGACATGGGGTTATTTCTTACCCAGTTGCTTGCCCTGGAGCCAACGCCTTACGTAGTTTCTATTGTTGGAATGGGTGGTTTGGGGAAAACCACTTTGGCCAAGAAGCTCTACAATCACACCAAAATCACCAACCATTTTGAGTGCAAAGCGTGGGTGTATGTCTCTAAAGAGTACAGGAGGAGGGACGTTCTAGAAGGGATTCTCAGGGATGTGGAAGCTCCCCCCATAACTGGAATGGAGAGAATACCCGAGGAAGAGTTGATTAACAAGCTGCGCAATGTGTTGAGAGAGAAAAGGTATCTGGTGCTGCTTGATGATATTTGGGGGATGGAGGTTTGGGATGGGTTAAAGTCTGCCTTTCCTAGAGGGAAGATGGGAAGTAAGATATTGCTCACCACAAGGAATTGGGATGTTGCTTTACATGCTGATTCCTGTAGCAATCCTCATCAGTTGCGGCCGTTGACAGAAGACGAGAGTTTGAGATTGCTCTGTAACAAAGCTTTTCCTGGAGCGAATGGCATCCCCTTAGAGTTGGAGAATCTTGCGAAGGAGATTGTGGTCAAATGTGGAGGTTTGCCTTTGGCTGTGGTAGTGGTTGGTGGTTTGCTGTCTAGGAAACTCAAGTCAAGTGGGGAGTGGAAACGGGTGCTGCAAAATATCAGCTGGTACTTGCTAGAAGAGCAAGAGAAGATAGCAAGAATTTTGGCCCTAAGCTACAATGATTTGCCTTCTCATTTAAAATCGTGCTTTCTATATTTGGGTCTTTTCCCAGAGGGTGTGAACATTCAGACTAAAAAATTGATCAGACTATGGGTAGCGGAGGGATTTCTTCTGCAAGAAGGGGAAGAAACTGCGGAAGGTGTTGCACAGAAATACTTGAATGAGTTGATTGGTAGGTGCATGATTCAAGTGGGAACAGTAAGCTCGTTAGGCAGAGTCAAAACAATTCGCATCCACCATCTGCTTAGGGATCTTTCACTCTCTAAAGGGAAAGAAGAATATTTTCACAAAATATTTCAAGGTGATGTGGCAGGTCCGTCCAGTAAAGCCCGCCGCCATTCCATACATTCTTGCGATGAGAGGTATGACTTCTTAAAACACAATGCTGATCATTCACGTTCCTTGCTGTTCTTCAACAGAGAATATAATGCAGATATAGCGAGGAAACCCTGGCTTCCTCAGCAAGAAAAGAAGTTGGATTTCATCTACAAGAAATTTAAGCTTCTCAGGGTATTAGAATTAGATGGTGTTCGAGTAGTTAGCCTGCCAAGCACGATAGGGCACTTGATTCAGTTGAGGTATCTAGGATTGAGGAAGACTAATCTAGAAGAAGAACTTCCACTTTCCATTGGGAATTTGCTAAACCTACAAACACTTGATTTAAGGTATTGTTGTTTTTTGAAGAAAATACCAAACGTAATGTGGAAGTTGGTGAATTTGAGACATCTGCTCCTGTACACTCCATTTGATCCTCCAGATAGTGGCCATCTACGGCTGGACACGTTAATCAATCTACAAACCCTACCACACATTGAGGCTGGAAACTGGATCGTAGATGGTGGTTTAGCGAATATGGTCAACCTCAGGCAATTGGGGATTTGTGAATTATCGGGAAAACTGGCGAATTATGTACTTTCTACCGCACAAGGATTAAACAACCTTCATTCACTGTCACTATCACTTCAATCTGAAGAGGATGAATTTCCAATCTTTATGCATCTGTCTCAGTGCACTCATCTCCAGAAGCTCTCTTTAAATGGAAAGATCAAGAAACTACCTGATCCACATGAGTTCCCACCAAACCTCTTAAAACTAACTCTACATAACTCCCACCTAAAGAAGGAGTCTATTGCCAAACTGGAGAGATTACCAAACCTTAAAATGCTCGTTTTGGGTAAAGGGGCATATAATTGGCCGGAACTGACTTTCAACTCTGAAGGGTTTTCACAATTGCATATTTTGCGACTTGTTCTTTTGAAAGAATTGGAGGATTGGACAGTTGAGGAAAGTGCAACGCCAAGGCTTGAATACATGGTTATTGATCGTTGTGAGAAGCTGAAAAAGATTCCAGAAGGAGTGAAAGCTATCACTTCTCTGAAGAAATTAAAACTTAGAGGAATGCCAGTAGATTTTGAACATAAACTTCGGACTAAAGATTTCTACGAGTTCACAAATACTCCAATAATTGAATCGACTACAGACATTTTGGCTATTGGTAAGCTACTTTATTCACCAATCTGATGCAAGATTTGATTTTGATATGAAGTACGGTATGTAAAGGCCAGGAATTTAGAAAACTTACTTACATTATTTCACACTGCAGATTAAATGGTGGGACAATGTTATCTTCGTCTACGGAATGGAAGCATTTTCAAGATCTGACACTCCATTGTTCAGGATGCCTGCTTTAATTTTTTGTTGGCAATGTACATACTGCTTGATGAAGGGTCAAGCACTGAGCAGTCTTTTCGCTTCTATGCACCCAGGATCTTACTCCCTTTCAGGATCATTGGGAATGGCTTCCAATAATTAATTGTGAATGCCATAACACGTGGAACTCATGTGAGCAGTACTGGGATTTTCCATAATAGATCATTTCTCCGAGATTGAACAGCTATGAATGACAAATGGACAGCATAGCTCAATCACATGTGAATGGCCAGATTTATTTCAATTTTTTAATGTGGCCATATAAGGGTCCTGCATATTCGTCGTCCTGCCTCTGTTTCTTTCCATTCCGACACAGCGGAACATCATCATCATCCCACAAACCAATTATTCCCTGTTCAAATAAATGGTAAGAAAATAAAACCATTTCAGTCTCTTGGTTGTTTTCTGGTGTTTTACTCCTAATAGGGGTATTTTTGTTTGGTTCAGTGCTGTGCATTGAACCAATGTTCCAACCTAGTTTAATTTTGAAATTGATTTTAGAAAACAGTTTAAGTTCATATTATTTTAAAACAAATCGGTATTTTTAAATTCAATTTAGTTTAGTTATTGAAAGTTTGTTCAATTCAATTATTTGGATCAGCTCCACTAATGTCCGTATGTAAGATAATTTAGCATATTAGAGTGATATTTAGTTTTAAGTTTTAAAACTTTAATAACTGTAACTAATGGTTAGTGTTTAAAATTTCCCTTATAATTTAGGATGAATTTTAATAACAATGACTATCTATATAGTAATTCTAAATAACAGTAAGAATGATAATGAGAAATATCATTTATTAAAGTAGTAAAAGTATGTTCTAAAATCAAATTCAAAAATATTTTTTCTTAACTTAAGAACGAATGTTTGAGTATTATGAAATTGAGTTAGGAAGTCCTTTATTTCCAATTCTACATAACACATTTTTGTTTCGAAAATTATGTTGGATAACCAAAAACTTGCAACTTCCTCAAACGGCCCTTAATTTTTAAGATTATGTTTTGAAAATTTTGTAGATACTCAGTTATAAAAAAAATAATTTAAAAGGTATTAATTTTGATTTCATGATAAATGTATTAACATTATTTTTTATGAATTAATGTTTACAATTTTTTTATTTGAATTCTATTTTATTCCACATGAAAGATTACACAAATAATTCAAATTACAAGACTGACCCTGGGGCATCTAATTACATAAATTCAATTTAAGCACACAAGAACGCTATCAGAAGGATGGATATGTAAGGCACATCATGACACTGCAGAGCATCACAATAATCGACTCATGTTTTGAAATAGGTAAACAATGGAAAGAAAAGTAAAATCCAGGTGCAATTTTCACATGTCGCATGACACATGACATTGGCATTACTTCATCACTTGTTAATTTTTCTGCAGTTTTTTCTGATCTCTCCCCTGGATCCTGTTAGAGGAGTAATGTTTCCCATCTTAACCATGGACTTGGCAAATTGTTGAAAGAATAGGTCGTTTCTCTCTGCATACTTCCTCACCAAATCCGCAGATTCTTGATTCTTTGTCAAGAGAACTTCGTCAGAACTTAACAGACCCTTGTTAGCCAACAAGTTATTGTAATACAAGTTGTCAAATTTAAGTGGGGTAACAAAGTCTAGGACAAACAGATTCTGGTCCCCGCCAGATCTTGGACACCGAGTTCGCAATTCAGCAGCATACTGTTGATCAAGAGTGAAGTCTGCTTTTCCATTGCCAGTTTGGTTGTAGAGTCTCTGCCTGAAGCTGGTGCATCGGGAATCTCCTATAGTGTGGCTCCCTGCACAATTGCAAAAATAATTTATGCTACAGATGCGGATGCAGCTTTACAATACTGCTAATTGAGTAAAAAGTCAAAGTGATCCTCAAATTAAGATGATTTTTACTATGTCTCAATTTGTATGAGAGTATCAAATTTGTTCCTAAAAGTACATTTAACTAACAAAAATTATATGTAATTATTGTGTTTAGTTGACAGTTTTATATTAATTTACTGTGATCTTGATTTTGAAATATACATAATTTTGTTTTAAACTTAATTTGAATCAAAATTAGTTTTGTGAAGTCAAACTCATGGAATAAGTTGGAAAATATTCATCTAAACAAACTTTTTTAACCATACGCCAAACATGTTTTGAAGGCAAATTGGGAGAAATAGATAAGTACTAGTAGTGTACCGGATAGAGCAACTAGATCAACAATGTCAAGTCCCTTAAGCTTGAACTTAGTTAGGATGGTCTGGAATGTGTTGTTGGGAGCAGGAATATTGTTATTTGAGCCACTGATGCTTGCACCTAGAGAGTCCCTTCTCCCCAAAGGTACTTCCCAGCTTGGTCCACCTGTCTGCAATGATTAATCAACCTTTGTCACTATTTTGATAGTCAAATAGCAAGATAAGGGTAGTATAGTGCAAAAAAAAAAAGGTATTTACAAGAACAGTCGAATCCCTAGCAGCTAGAGCCAAAATGTCAGCACATGACACTGTACGTGGGCATTCTTTCTCTAGTGCGGATTTAATTTCATCAATAACTTCAAATCCTCGAGCTGAATCTCGGTTTGGATTTGACCTCTTTTCACTGATAATAGTTCCACTGCTGTCTAGCAACACTGATGCATCACACCCCTACAACATCCAACTTGAGTCAAGCATTTGAACCATATAACTTCTACAAAGACGATTTGTGTGCCCATAAACACATGTGAAAAGTGATATAGTAAGACAAAAACAAGAGATAAAGAGTGTCAATTGAGTGTATATAATGTGCGAGTGTCAATATCATTACTCTAAATTCTATAATATGCACGTCAGTAAGACTCATAGATATGACACTATTATAGATGTTCTCTTGATATTTAACCAAATTATGGGGTTTGTTTTCTGTCATATATAGAGACCTTGACAAAACAATCATGGAAATGCAGCCTCAGCAATGAAGCAGCCATGCGGGGTTCTTTGGACACAGCCTTGGCAACAACGGATTGGACAATCTCTTCAGCTCTGGGGCATGAACCGTCGTAAAATTGAGGGTAAAGGTAACCTGCATTTTTCTTTTTACAGTGACAGAAGGGAGCCAAGGTTAGTAGAGAAAAAAGCAGGAGAAAGTTTACAGAATTGACCATTGTTGTTCCTTTCAAGAGCAGTTCCCTGAACAACAATTGCACAAGGGTGGTTGAAGAGGAGTTTTCTAGCTGGATTGGTTGAGCATTATGATGGGGTATGGTATTTATAGTGAAGAACTTGGCTGAAAATTATTGCATGACAGAGAACGACTGGTAAAAAAGGCGCAATGGAAGGATAGAAAAAGCTGGAGTTGGTAACTAACTAGTTTTCAAATCCGCACAAAAGATGAAGAGTGGTTAGCTGTTGATACTCATCATGTTAAATCACTCAAAGTTATAGTATTAACAAAATGGCTCGATGTTCTAAACGCAGAGCAACATGCTTTTAGTTTGGCATAAGCAAAAATACTTAATGCAGAAATAATATTGTACTTTTGCAGTGAATTTTCTCAATAATTCAAAGAAGAGGGATAAACAGATAAGATCAAGGACTACGAGGTAAGATGAATGACATGATCAATTGAAATTAAAATATTTATGAAAGAGCAAAATAGGATTATTTATGTAAACAAATACCTAGGTATGGACCCGGTTCCTTTCATCGAAAGTTGTGTTGTATTGGTCTTTTTATTTAATATCAGCATCGGTTTCTTTCTTTGGTTCTTTTTAAGCTCCATCTTCTACTTTTCACCGGACAAAACCATGATTAAGGCTCTAATAAATTATTCCCACCATGCTTGTGTAGTAAAATATTCTTAGATTTACTTAACAATTTGTGCTTACACTCTTTCTCACTTTCATGGTCTTTTGTTCGCATGCACAAAATATTAAATTTAATTAATTATCTTTAAAATCTCACTAGTTTACTTTCAAGGACTTTATCCCCTATTTTCTATTCAAAAGACACAGAATTCATTAGTGCTTACTTAGGGCAGAAGACTCGTATTTCAATCCACCAAGCCAAGCGATTCATTAATCCACCAGGTCTTGAGTTTAGAGGGGTTCAAGTAAACTTTGACAACATCAAAAAAGCCTTGTAGTTCTTCCTTCTTGTCTGGGTCTTATTTAGATGGAGTCTATGAAGTTAGCTTCACCTGCTCATGTTGACTTCATGGCAGCTCTAGAAATTGTTGACTACCAAAAATAAAAATGGAGTCTCACTGTCTGCAATGATCATTCCATCGCCATCGCCATAGATTCATGTTCCCTCTTTCAAATCCTTTTCTTTCATCTTTTTAGAAAATATATTTTTTCAATTCCTATATTTTAGTGAAACGTGTTCAAGTTCTTTAAATTTTCCGTGTTTCTAGATTTAGTCATCAGAATTAAAGCAAGACTTTTTTCTTTAAGTAAAAGGTTGATGTGCACATCAATTTATTAAAATGAAAAAAAAATGAGTGGATTGGGCCAAATTCATACAGCAAAAACTAAGAGAAAAGAAATTCACAAAGATCGTTCCTTTTTTTGGAAAAGCAAAATCTATATAATTTGGGACAGAATCCCACAAGAAAAAAAAAATCCTGTTTATTATTCTTAAAATTAAAATTAGCTAGAATATTTGTATTCCCAAAATATATGTGCATAATGAAGATTCATATATGAGATATGATAATGCGTTTTCTTATGAATCAGGAGGAATAATATAATTATCCGAAAGATAAAAAAGTTAATGAGAATCACATTCTAGTCGTCAATTTTTATGAGGGCGTATCTTAACTTTGATTGATATTTTCTCTTCACCATTTCTTTCCATTGGATAACGGTTTCCAGGGTACATTAAAAGGGAAAAAGGCAGAGTGACTTTCATATATTCTCTGTTCTTCTTTTCTTGTGTCGGTGAAAAGAAGCTAGTGTCTGCTATGTTCGACCTCTCATGAGTTAAATGTGAAAACTTCTTCTCTTCGACACCTGTAACAACCTTAAATTTAGACTTGTGCAGTTGTTTATTTGTGTGAGGATATAAACTAATGACTAATGTTGATGAGGGCTAAAATAGACAACACTGCGACATGATTTTATGATGCAATGTAATGAAGGAACAGGTATATAGTTGGATACCTAATCCTCTATACGCTTCTATTAGTCTTAGTCTTAAACTAAACTTGTCTTCTTTTGCTTTAACATTATATTCTTAGCATTACTTCTTTTCGTTTATTTTTTGGTTATTGGGTATATGGTATAATAGTATATATGCTTAGCTTTGATTCCAGGGAAATAGATTGAGTTTGAGTAGGATATAATCACTTTTCTTCTCTTCTTTCCCTAAGTTTTAGCAATTTTTTTATTTTATAAGATAATATTAAGTTAGAGATGTGGTAATGAGCATGAAAGTTGTAAAGATCACTAAGGATTGTTATATTAATGCAATATTATTCAAACTAATGTCGATAAAGTAAAGTTGCATGCTTCGTCTCTTGCTCTGTTAATAATTCTTTCATGCTGTGCTTACTTTACTTTTAAGTTTCCCAAGCTCCATCTTCAGGGACCGAGATTACTTTATCACACCAAAAAAGTGATTTTCCCACCACGATGAATAAACAAAATTAGAATTACATTAAATAAACCTTGAAGTATGTATTTATATACTTGCACAACCAAAATAAGGGAGGACATACATTTTAAACAAAAAAGTTAGTTTTCAGTTTTTTTTTTAAACTAGAAAACTTGCTTGATATTTTTCTTGAAAAAACAATTTTCAAAAACAGCATATGTTTTTTAGTTTTTTTTTTAAATGATGTTTTAAATTTTATTTTCTAATTTCATTATTTGTTATCATCTATTTTATCAGAGCATCAAGTTATCAAAAGTCATTTTCTAAATTTTATTGTAATTTCATTGTGGTCGAGGTCCTCTTTCGTCTAAGAAAGATTTTAAACTAAAATTATCAAAAAAAATTCTGACATATTTTCAAACATAAATTGTTGAAATTGATCTCCAAAACTGTATTTTTTTTAAACAAAAATAAAATTAAATCAAACAAACAAACTCTACAACTTTTTAATGCAAATATTTATTTTATAATTATCACTTTTTATTTTTTTTTATTTTTTTTTTACCTCACATATGCATGAGTAATTTAAAATTCTAGTTTCGGTCATGGATAACAAAGACAATATCAACACTTGTTTAGAATAAAATTTAATTAAATTGATTATTTTTAGTTTAATAATAAAATTTAATTGAATTGATTATTTTTTAATTTAGTAATAAACACTTTTTTTGTTAATTATAATTTTATAATAATTACTTTAAATGAACTTTTAATTTTAATTGTTATTAAAAGTGTTGAAAGATGATTATAATCATTTTGAATGCATTTTCAATTTCTTTGACAAAATAAACCACTTCCTATACAACCCATTTTTATTAATATTATAATTATTAAAATATTTAATAAAAATAAATAAATAAAAAATTAAAATTATTATTATAATATAAAATACATTGATGGATGATTTGTGTGAACAGTGTCAAAATTCTTTTTTACATGTTGTGTTACAATTTATAGTAACGTACGAACGTACTCTTTCTTCTTCAGTTATTAAGATATTCTCGGCCTCGATATGAATTAAATATGAGTTGAGCTCCAAACATCTATTCATCCTTATCCATTTTGTGGGGCTAGCTTGTAAACACAATATTCGTTAGTTTTGTTTTTGTTCTTTATTCATATATATATATATGATGTTTTGGTGAACATGTTACTGAGTTTTGGCTTGATGTCCAGTTCAGACCAACGGATGGAATTATCCTTTGTTGGGGGACTAAAGCCGAATACATAGGAAGCCCTTCTGTCACTGGTGTTTTCTTAGTTAGACAGGAAAAGGGTGCTCTTGTTGTGAGTAAGTTTTATATGTAAAACTTACTCTTTAATTTGTACTAGATTGTATGATTATGTACGGACATAATACTATAAATAGAGAGAGTAGGCGCTATCCTATAATAGAGACAAAATTTCATTAGCATAATTCATAATATGGAGCATATGCTTTTCTTCTGTCGTATAGAATATTTACTAGTTCGCATGTAGGAACATTTATGTAAGAGGACATTTGGGAAATCTTCCTCAAAGGCACAAAGTAAAAAAATTAATGCCCCGTTGATCTCTGGACCTCCTCTTTCAGCATCCACTCATTAGCTTTTCAAAAGAAGTACTGCAATACAAAACCAAAATCCTTTAGTAAACCAAATAACTCTGTAGCAAGTAGCAAAAGTTATGATCATGGAGTACATACAAATTTCTTCTTCTTCTTCTTCTTTTTCTCAATGTAAGCCGAAAGTTCTTCTTGTCGAACAAGTGAATCTTCCAGAGCCTGACAATGAAGAACCTCAGTTTTTATAACAAAAAAAAAACAATTGGAAAGAGTGAGGCACTTTGGCTTACATGATGGTGTTGTTTTGAAACAAGTTTTTTGGTACGGTAGAAGTGACTTGTAAACTATATGATCAAACTTATTATAAGTGCTCATACGATAAAAAGTGCTTAATTATTTCGATTACCCAAATGCGCTCAATAGTTGATCCAGCTCTGTTTTAGTTATAATTTAATGGCATATGATGAATAATGTTCTACCTTCTTTGTCTCCAAAAGTTGCTTCTCCAAGTCATCAGCTCGAGTCATAGTTGCATTCAGCATTTCCTCCTTCTCAGGTGGCATGGAAGCAGGCTGCTTGTTAATGGTGACCATTTTATTCTCCAACTCAGCCATGCGCTTCATCACAGTCGCAAGCTCTGCAGGAGACAAGGCAGTTGCAGGCAAATTGGTCAAAAGTGGTTCATCAGAAGAGGCTTTGATAGACACTGGATATCATGGACTTTAGATGTTTTCGAAGTCACGAATTGTTAAATCATAAGAAAAACAAGAGAATCTATGTTGGATGAATTAACTAAGGAATCCACCACAGGGTGGTTTCCTACTAAAGAAATACATTTGCCATAGAATGAATAAAAGAAGTTGTATCGGATGTGTACCTGTTGATGATATTGCTGCTGCTGGTGCAGTTGAGTCAACCCCAGGGGATACGTCCTTAGGCTTGGTAGGTTCCTCGTCAGCATTTTTCAAAGTTGTGTCAACCGCAGGCTTGGAGGGTGAAGTGGCAGGGACCTGCAAGGCTTGTATGTGAAAATGTCCCAATAATACTTTTTAACAAAAATATTTCATTTTTAATTCCTTAACCATTCCCAACATTTGCCAAATGTTTATTATCGACATTCCAAAGTATGAAGGCCGTGCCTAAAAGCCAACCACATAAAATAGAACACTTGAAATGTTCATGAAATTAGCAAAAAAGGAAAGCCACATGCATGGTCAGTTAATATGTTGTTTGGTTTCATAATTTATCATCTGAATAATGAAGTTTAATATGTGTTAGTATGAAAGAGACTTGTAAATAAATAAACTGGTAGATTGAATATTTTTTCTTTAATTAATTTCCGTTTGCATGTACATTAGAAGTACTCTCTAAAACTTTTACATTCACCACTTCGTCCTGAAATCTGTCTGTTTTTAACTTGATTAAGAAAGGATATTCAACATACCTCTTCAACAACGGGGGCGGGAGTTGCCTCAGACTTGGGAGTCTCGGGTTCCTAGGCATATATGCTCACTTATTAGTTCAAATTTTCATAAATGATAGAAAGCAAGTACTGAGTCTCAAGAAAATCAAAATTATATACGAAAAGCTACAGCGTTTGAAGAGGCAGAGCTAAGTGAATTTAGAATGAGCTATCTCACCTCAGGAATTGCTTTCTCCTCCTCGCCGTGTGAGTCACCTTTTTTTGAGCATTTGTGAGCGCCACTCTGAACCATCTGCATTTCCATAAGACGATAAGTTTAGGAATCAGATACATACATGGTGTTAAAACTATTAGCTGAGGTTAATAGTAGGGAAAGAAAAAGGAAAAATAAAATGGAGTATAGGCTTACCTTCAATATTTCTGGATCCTTCCACGGGCCCTTATCAGAGCGCATACAACCTCCCTTATCAGCACAAGTACAAGTACCTCCCAAAAAGTCAGGCAACTCACTGGAAAAGCGAAACCAAGAAGGTTCTCAATAACCTTTTGTCAATGCTATAGAAAGACTTCAAGGTGGAGAATGAGGGAAGAGAAGGAATCAAAGAGATCAATAGTTCGTGTAAAACAAGGTAAACCAAATGCTGCGATGTTCCACCTACTCATGAACTCACCTTGCATCAATTATTTCTAGCAATTTGGTGTCATACTTGTTGCCAAGAACCTGAAAATTTATGTTTGATTGACATTAGTATATTTTTCTGACGAAACAAGCAGATTTAGGGCAATGTTTGAATGCTCACATTGATTTTTGCCGTAGTCTTAGGGTCAAGGAATGATTTTACGGTGTTCCAGAGTATTCTGAATCCAGAGCCTGCATTGATGATGAACATGCGGTTCAAGGTCTGCGATAAAGCAACCAAGTAAATAATATTACTCAATAATCCATGATATTTATTTGCAATAAAACTCTAACCAAAGTAGAAAAACTAAGAAATACCTCTGGATAGTTGTCACCGTCAATCTTCTGAAGACGAGTAACGAGTTCCCTAGCATGCTTGTTGAAGCTTTTGAGCCCCTGTGTCATTGATACAATATTAAAGTTTTAGCAACTTCTCATATTTACGAAAATTTTCTTTATTAATTGATATAATGATTCGTTTTCAATCCACTAAATACTATCTCTCGGTTTTTAATATTTTGTCATGTTAAGCTACTCCATGTTCAAATGTAAAATTTCTTTTAGTAAATTATGACTTCATTCTTCTTGGCACATATAATTAACTATTTCTCTTACCACTCCCTGCACATCCAGGATAGTTGTACTTTGATCAATGTGCTTCTTTGCAGCAATTGAACAAGCTGCAAACTTTACATCGAATGTCCTCTCAAACTCCTTTACATGGTATTTGATATAGCGATCCATGGTGGTGACTTGCATCATTTTCCCGGCGTCGACTTGGCCTAATCTCTCTATATACACAGGTCTTCCCTCTTTGTCCACTCCATGATGTCCTTGGGGATAATATTGTAAGACCTCATCAATTTCTTTGAAATCAAAGTCCTGGTATAAAGGGGACAATAAGGTTAAGAGGAAAAAAACTAGTTAACAAAACTGCCAACATGTAAAGCAATAGCATACAATAATAATAAAATAAAATTCTCACACAACATAGTCATTCAAGTACCTCCTCAATAGTGTCAGCACCAAACTCCTTCCTCCATTTGAGCATGTCAGACCACATTTGCTTTGTTTTCTCAATATCGAACTTCCTGGCCTTCAGGAATCTATACAAAAAAAATACAAAAATACAAAAATAGTATATTTCAACTTCTTATTTTAATGAATGATATGGCATAACATGACATGCAAGTACATATCCATTCTAGGACACGGAACCAATAACCATGCAGCATGCAAGCCATATGATTAACGGAACCGCATTCAGTGTAGTAATGTTTGCACTCATTCAGTGCATTTATAATCTAACATGAAGGTCAGACAACAGAGATTTTGAATGTGTTAGATAGTATGAGTTTTCTGATATTTCTCCGTTGTATAATATGAGAATGCGTTTAAATGAGGCTGCAGGTAATCTGAATCCATAAGGAAAGGCATAGGAAGGAAAAGAGACCTAAGCATCATGTGATAATCATCGTGTTTTGCGGGGAGAAGTTCGTCCAAAATAAGAGCTTGACGGAACTCATCAACTATTTTCAACTCCTCAGCATCGTGGACATCCTCAATTTCAACAGACATGACCTTGCTGCTTCGCCTACCCTTTTTTGTCAAAGAATTCCTCAGCATGTTTGAGGCATTCAGTGCCTTTTGCTTGAAAGAACCTACAACACACATGACAACATTGAAGAGCCGCATCCATGATAATACCAAAGATAATAACAATAGCAATAATAATAGCTAATTACATGGAAAAACAAAAAATGTAACTAGTATTTAAGAAAGTTGGGGAAGGAATGGACGTAGAAATGAAAAGGGTGGCCTACAATAAATGATTTAACCTGTTTTGGGAGACACAGTACCAGACATGACGTCGTTTACGTTGATTGCTTCCTCAGGGCTTGCAGGAGTTGAAGTATATCAAAGACGAATCAAGCACTCATATCACTCAGGGCATAAAAGAAAACAAAGACAATCCCACTGCCCTGCCTGCAGCCCCACCAACCAACAATTCATTAGACACACACAACACACCTTTTTTCCATTTAACTTTTAAGGATAAGCCAAAAACGAAAAACAAACCAACAAAAGTGAAGCAATTGGAGACGGTACCGATGAGATTGCGTTGGTTGGTTATGAAATGAAAGGAGGAATATTATTGCCTAGCTAGTGGGAAGGAAAAAGAAGAAGAAAGAGATGAAGGGAGGAAATTACCTCTTGAAAGAGAAGAAAAGCAGGGACGAAGAAATAGAGGTTATAGAGGAGAGGAGGGTAATCTAAATCCGTAATGCTGAAAATTAGTGTTGGAAAAAGGGGTAAGAGACAATGAGGCGCCATTGACAACGGTGACCAATTGTGAGCAAGAGCGTGAATCTCTCTCTGGTAATTCAGAATTAGCAAATAGAAGAAGAAATGAGACAGATTTAGCAAAACGAGACAGAGCAGGGGTTCGGGAACAACTTTAGGCGAAATTCAAGGTTGTTGTTCCGTTCCATTCCAATCAGATGTATCATCATTGTTAATCATTCGTCACTCCCATCACACAATCTATACTTGACAGTCACGTGTTTTTTCCATTTTTATACAATAAAATTTCTTGATATTTTTATTTTTATTTTTTTATTTGCATATTTTAGTTTAGTCAGATTATGGATCTTTATTGTATCTCAAGATTTTTCAAAATATTTTTTTTACATTAGAATGATTTTTGTAATATTTATCCGATAAAGTGTGGTTAAGTATATCGTTGTTAACTGATAATTTTTTAAAATATTACAAGAGTTTATTTTGGTATTATTTTAAAAATATGAGATACCTAATTTAACTTTATAAAATCCATTCAATAATACGATATATTATAATTTTATTGTCAAATTTTTTATCATAATTAAAAAAATATGATATTAAACATAAAAAAATCTAAAAAAGCAAAATTAATGTAACTCGTTCGTCTAGCAAATGTTAGAATGAAGTGAAAAAATTATCAGAGTTTGTTAAATAATATTAGTTTAGCAAGAACATTGTGAAAGAAAATGAAATGGTTCGTTGTTCTATTACTTCATAGGTTCAAGTATTTCTACACTAAATCACTTTAATCAATATGTTAATTTTGATTTAACCAGTGTAAACACTTTTTAATTTAGAGATTTTTTAATTACTTAATTATTATTAATCACTTAATAATTAATACAATATTAATTTCTAGTTGTGATGTTATATATAATTTGAATATATAATATTAGTTACAACATTTAAAGTAAGTATGCAAGAAAAATAAATATGTCAAGAAAGTAAATTACAGAAAAAGTAAATATGTGTAAAGATGTTTTAAAAAAGAATCAATAAATATGACGATTCGAATGGTAAAGAATTTTATTAAAAAAATTTGTTTTGTTTTCGTAGCATTTTTTTAGTAAGTCCTCGTATAATTTGATTTATACTTATTTTATTTTTTATATTTTTTTGGGTAACCACTAATAAAAAAAAGATAAAATACAAAAAATGGTAACTTTTCATATAACTATACTTGGATTGCATAACTCATTCTCGATTTTTTACATTTTTTTCATTTACATAACTGTCTGTTGATATTTTGTATAATTATATTTTGAGAGATATTTTGTCCATCTTAATTTTTATAAGTCTTTATATTTTAATAAATCCTTCTCTGATTCTTTCTTGATTTCTTCTGAGTATTTCACTCATATGTTTTAATAAATCCTTCTCTGATTCTTTCTTGATTTCTTCTGAGTATTTCACTCATATGTGATAATATTATTTACTTTTACTAATGTATTTGTTCTCTTCAATTATATACTTCTCTATTGATATTCTTCTATTGCTTGTATTTTTTATTTTGAATCACTTTTGACTCTAACACTTCTCTCCATCTTAAATTTTTAACGGTAATATTTCTCCATTCAATCTTGATTTTAATTTTTGATAGTTATTTCTCATTTTAAAACTTTAATATTTTATTTAACTCTTTTTATTTGATATATTTATAAATTTGTTAATAACACTTATATATTATAATTTTTTTTATTTTTAGTTGGTGTAAGATTTTTTGATAATATCATGATTAAAAAAATATTATATTAAACATAAAAAAAATCTAAAAAAGCAAAATTAGCGTATCTCAGTGTCATCTTAACAAATGTTTGTCTTGTAAGTATAAAATGATAAAATTATCAGAGCTCGTTAAATAATATTAGTTTAGCAAAAACGAGTATGAAAGGATCAGCTAAAATGAACGTAAAGGAGTGAAACTAACACAATTTAGTTATAAAAAAAGTCTTTCTAGAACTAGGGCAAAACTAAAAAATATATACTCCACTAGGAAAAGTGAATGTAAGCCCCTCTTTGTTTGAACTGATTTGCGACGAAATACTGTTCACGAAGACAGAAACACGAGATTCACCCACATTTGGTTGAACTGATTTGCGACGAAATGCAGGCGAGGAAAAAGGGGAGATGAGAGAGAGAGTTTCTTCGCTGAGGTGCGAAGAAAAGAGATGAAAGTAATGAAAAGTCGCTGTTACCCTGCAATATATGATAGCGGTTAAATCTTAACCGCTATTATAACAGCACTTGTAATAGCGGTTAAAATTTAACCGTTATTATATATCACTTCTAATAGCGGTTAAAACATAACCGCTATTATATATCACTTCTAATAGCGGTTAAATCTTAAACGCTATTATATATCACTTAAGATAGCGCTTACAGAGGAACCGCTATTATATCCTCCAATATTTCGCTCGAGCGAGATATAGTCGCTCAAGCGAAACACAACCCGAGAATGAAGAAATTAAAATATGATTGTATATGATAGCGGTTCCTCTGGAACCGCTATCTAATATACACTTTAGATAGCGGTTACATGGAAACCGCTATTATATCCTCCAATTATGATCGATCATTACCTAAATCTAATCGATCAGAATAATATTTCGCTCGAGCGAGATATAGTCGCTCAAGCGAAACACAACCCGAGACTGAAGAAATTAAAAATTTGGTTGTATATGATAGCGGTTCCATTGGAACCGCTATCTAATATACACTTTAGATAGCGGTTACGGAGGAATCGCTATTATATCCTCCAGCTTATGATCGATCATTTCAAATTATGATCGATCAAGTATCGTTTTCGCTCGAGCGAGATATAGTCGCTCGAGCGAAATGCAACCCGAGACTCGAATCTTAAAATATTTTTTTGAATATTATGTTTTTAAATTTGCTATTAGAGAAAACCTTTTAGAATTCAAAATGTTAAATACTTTTAAATATTAAAATTAACTTTATCAAAAATTAGGAAAACAAAATTTATCCAAAAGAGTTCAAAAATGTATAAGAGTATTCTCAATTTTGAGTTTAATTATATTGTTCATTCTCAAAGTAGAAATTTATATTGTAGTTATTTAATTTACATTTTGTGATCTTCTTAAAATTAGCATCAATAACATTAGACTTTACATTTGATTCATACCTAACTAATTATAGATTAAAAGGAAAGTGGTATAACCATGCATTTTACTTTTCTATTTACCTTATTCTTTTAATTATTTTATATAATAATAATCAAAATATTCACATGAATATGGGCATTTTCCAAAATAATATTATTGTATTATTGTTAAAATTAGCATCAATAACATTACACTTGATCTTCTTAATTATATTGTTCATTCTCAAATTAGAAAATTATATTGTAATTATCTTCAATTTATTAAAAGTGTAATTAAATCTCTATTTTCTTAATTTTTTTTGTTTCAAATTTCTCAATGCTACATTTTTGTAACTTCTATCATTATATTATCATCCTCATCTCTTCCCATGTTCTACTTTATCTTTACAATAGTTAATATTCTTAAATAATCTATATTTTTAATTATAATTTTTTAATATATATTTTGAAATTAATCAATTCTAAGCTATTATTTGAAAAACTAATCAATTCTAATCAATAATTTAGAAAAATAATCGATTAGAATTAATTATTTGAAAAAATTATGAAATATGATCGATCATTTCAAAAATCTAATCGATCAGAATCATATTTCGCTCGAGCGAGATATAGTCGCTCAAGCTGAAACACAACGCGAGACTCAAGAACTTAAAATATGGTTGTATATGATAGCGGTTCCACTGGAACCGCTATCTAATATACACTTTAGATAAGCGATTACAGAGGAACCGCTATTATATCCTCCAATTATGATCGATCATTTCAACTTATGATCGATCAGGATCGTATTTCGCTCGAGCGAGATATAGTCGCTCGAGCGAAATACGACTTATGAGCTCACGCTTTAAGAGTTGTTGTAGCTCTACCTAAGCTCCGCTTTTTCGGTTCAATCCAATCGCAGTGGGATTAGAGAGCAAGTCGTTCAAAGTTTGTTTTAATCTGTTGAAATAGTCGTTATAATCTGTTAAAAGTCCTTTCAACCCATTAATGCGTTCTTGTTCTTTAACGAATTGTTTTAGTCGATACGACCAAGTTTTTATCGGTTAAAACTTTTTACAAATATTTTCTAAGAGTGATTTAATCGATTGATTCGCGGTTTAATTGATTGATTCAGTTTAAAACTTTCTTATAACACTTTTCAAGTTATTTTAACCGATACAAAGAAGTTTTAATCGATTAAAACCACGCATGTAATTTTTTCTAAGTCATTTTAATCGATTGAAATGCGTTTTAATCGATTGAAATGCGTTTTGACTTTATCTTTGACTTCATCAAATCACTGAGATCTTTGCTAGTCGCTCGAGCGAGATCAGTTTCGCTCAGCGAAAATAAAACCCGAGGATGAAAATTATGTGCAGGTGTCTTCGCTCGAGCGAGTTTACGGTCGCTCAAGCGAAATATAACTTGTAATAGCGGTTTTAGGTGAACCGCTATCTAAAGTGTCGAGGTTTTGGTACTGTGATCGATCATTTTGGGAAAATAATCGATCATTTGAAAACTTTAGGTAGCGGTTAACATATAACCGCTATCATAGTTTACTTTTAAGAGCGGTTGTCTTTGTAACCGCTCTTAAAAGTGTATATATAATAGCGGTCCAATTTAACCGCTATCTTATATATATTTGTATTAGCGGTTATTACTGGAACCGATTATCTAAAATCTTGATCATTTGACAAATTATATATTCTAAAGACGACGTAAGGAGGTAAGTCATGAGCAGAAGTCGGGGTCTGTACATGCAGGTGGTCACGGGCATGTACGAGCAGTGGTCACGGGCCGTACATGCGAGTGGTCACGGCTGCATGCGACCAACTTCACGTGTTCACGACTGATAGAAGTTACAGGACTTATTCTTTCTTCCGTAGTTACAGTCGATAGGGAAAGTTATTGTATTATATAAAGCAAAGCTAGTCTCATAAGACTAGCTAAAAGACTCTAGCAAAGCAAAGCAAAGCTACTCTGTTGTAGGTTGGATCTTCGCCGGCGGCCATTAACTTTGGTGTGACCTTGGTTGGTACGTTTGTTTTTGGTATATTGTCGGAGGAA